AGACATTATGGAGACTGTTTATAATGGCATTCTTTGCATACTGCAGGACATCACATAAACTACCATTGTCATGAACCTGTGGTAGTGAGCCCTTGTAGATCGTCAACTTGGGGTTCCCCAGGGCACAGAGTCTAACCCCAGCCTGCTTCTTTACCAGAGCCCCTGATGGTGGGGATGGACTTGCAGCAAGCTGGGGCCAGGTCGTGGCCCCCCGGGTAAACCCAGCTGAGGATGAGGAGACCGCACGTGGGAGCAGAGTACAATGGGAAGACACAAACAGAAATCTGATAGAAATCTGATAGACTAGCTGAGGTCAGGACAGACGGAGAACAAACACAGGAGCTCAGACAACTAGGATGTTGCTCAGGCAAAGTGGCCTAGACTGAGCATGTCTTATATAGGCAGGCAAACAAGGAGGCGGGCCAGGAAGTGATGGAAGGGAGGGAAATAAAACCCAGAGAACAGCAGATGACGCCCATAGGTGAGCACAGACAAACACACATGTAAAAGGGATCAGGAACAGAACTGCAGCAAGGAGGTAAGAATACAGAAACAAGGAACTGCAGGCTAACTTGTGACACGCACTATATCTGTATTTTACTTTTTATTTATAAAATGTATAGCATAGTGTGGTGCTTACAATCCCATATTGCTGAAGAAAATACTCCCAGTTAGGAGCAAAGCTGTATCACATGATCTTAAATGGGTCATGTGATAAGCTATTTCTTCTTCTCAATACACTTTTTGTCCATTTATTAGTATGAATGGGGCTTTGCTTTTTCAGAATCCTAAAGCTAAAAAGTACAAACTACATTTTTAAAGCACAGAGCAATCTACAAGGGCTCACTACCACAGACACTTACAGTATTTCTACCACTTCTATATATGACAGTTCCCCTCTATCATTAGTTCCAAAGGAAATATCAGGTGCTGACATTTGCCGTGTCCGTAGCATTCCCCACAGTCTCTGGCATATTACTTGACATTTTGTTGTCTTTATTTCTAGGTTATATGCACCCTTACTCATTTATGTCGGGGACTTCCCGATTCCAATAAATTTACTGCCCGCAGACCCTAAAACCACTGGGCTAGGGTTGTGTGGATGGTGCTCTTGTCCTAATCAACATGTGCTTTGCCTGGGGTTCTCCCCTGGCAAGGTACTCCCCGATGTTGAGTTCATGTGGCTTGGTATGGTTTGGGGGGGCACAGTACATGCATGTCCTCCCCTTTCCTGGGCAGCCAAGTTGCATGCTCAGATTAAGGGCATGGTATGTATTTTTTAGGCAAACCTCATACTTTTTTGTTTTTTTTTTTGTCTGAGTATTTCCCTTAACCACTTCCCAACCTGCCAATAGGCAAATGACTGCAGAGCAGAGCACTGTTATTCTGGGGGGATGTCATATGATGTCCTCTAAGTCACATGCCTTGTGTGTGCCCTAGGGGCTGCTCTGCACATGATCTGTCACATGCTATATTCACTGGCGCAAGGCAGATCATTGTAACGGCTGGCCCCAGTACCATGTGATTGCTGTGGCCAAGTCAGAAATCCCGTGCAGATTACTGCACTTCTGGAATCATAGAAACTCTTTTTTCTTCTTCCTTTCTTTAGCATCCTGTACTTCCTGGCCAGTGAATATGACATTATTGGGGTAGCCACATACCAGTAGGCTAGGCATGCATGGCTTATAGGAACAGAGACTGCTATAGATGATGCTAAACTAAGCTTTATTCCCTGATCACTCATACTGAGGCAATCATTACTGTACATTGGTTTTGATACAATTGGTTGATTTTTGTGATACACAAGATACAGTGCCTGCTATATAATCAGTCCAGACATTGAAAATGTCTCACATATGTGGTATCATCATACTCCGAAGGAGTAGGAGAATATGTTTTGGGTTGTCATTCTAAGTATTCCCATGTTGTGTGTAAGAAAGATCGTATTACATTGACAACTTTTTATGTAAAAAAATAGATTTTCATATTCATTCCACATTTTCCAAAAATTTGTGGTAAAAATATTAAGTGTTCAAAAGATTCACCATGCGTTTTAGTAAATACCTTGGGGAGTTTGCTTCCAAATGCGGTCATTTTATGGGTGTTTCTACTGTCCTAGTTCTCCAGGGCCTCCACAAATGTAATAGATAGTCAGGAAATTAGATGAGTAATTTATGCCCCCAGAAACCCTGAAGATGCTCCTTAGATTTTGGGCCCTCTGTGTGCTAGACTGTGAAAAAAAACTCACACATGTGGTATCCCCATATTCAAGAGGAGTAGCAGAATGTGCTCTGTGGGGTGTAATTCTAAGCCTACCTATGATGTGTATTAGAAATACATTTTTATTGACAACTTTGTGAAAATACCTTGGAGCATTTGCTTTCCTAAATGGGGTCATTCTGTTGGTGTTTTCACTGTCCTGGTGCTCCAGTGCCTCAAGAAATTTGATAGGTAGTCTGGAAATTATTTGCATAATTTATGCACAATGTATGCTCCTTGAAAGACCAAAAGGTGCTTGGATTTTTTTGCTCCTGTATGTATGTAGGTTGTGAAAAACATCTCACACATGTGGTATCCCTACACTTGGGAGGCATAGAAGAATGTGTTTTGGGGTGTAAACATAAGTATGCCTATGCAGTGTGTGTGAGACACAACTTGTTAAAATGACAACTTTGTGAAACAAATTAATTTCTTCCTTTTAAAAAAAATAGTGACATTACAACTTCAAAGAACTCACCATATCACCAATCGGTATCCCTGATCATTGCCATACCAGTTGTATGATGATGCTGTGCTGTTCTGGTAAGAGTATGTAAACAATTTGTGATAAAAAATGTAATTTCATTTCCTAATTTTGCAAAAATAAGTGCCAAAAAATTACAACTTAAAAAATTCACCATGCCTCTTATTAAATAAATTGGACTGTCTACTTTTCAAAAAGGGGTTATTGCGGGGATCTTTGTACTGTCCTGGTATTTTAGGGCCTCAAGAAATGAGATAAGCAATCAGTACATCAGGATTAATAACTTTTCAAATATACTGTATATACCATGGATTGTAGACTCTACAACTTCACACAGACTAAATAATATACACTGTTTTGGATTATATGTACCAAAGAAATGTAGCAAAATACATTATGGTCTAAATTTACAAAGAAAGATTCTTTATTTGCCAAGAAAGAAATTTGTTTGTCAAAATATTTGGCATTATTTCATTTACAGTATATAGCAAAAATAAAAAAAAAACTAGTGATTAAATACCACCAAAAGAAAGCCCTGTCTCAAAAATTATAAAAATTCATCTGGATACAGTGTTGCATGACTGAGTAATTGTCATTCAATGTGGGACAGCACTGCAATCTGAAAATTGACCTGGACAGAAAGGGGATGAAAGTGTCCAGAATTGAGGTGGTTAAACAATAAAAAAAAAACATGTTTACAATCAGATATTCAGATAACCTTGGTGATTGTACAGGTGAAACTCGAAAAAATTAGAATATCGTTCAAAAGTTCATTTATTTCAGTAATGCAACTTAAAAGGTGAAACTAATATACAGTTGTGTTCAAAATATTAGCAGTCAGACATCACTAACCTGATCAATCACTGTTTTTGGTAGAAATGATATTTCTACATGGCAAATAATTTACTAGCAGGTGTAGTAGAGTAATAGAAATCCAACAGACCCAACAGTCATGACATGCATGCTGCTGATTCTGTGTAATTGAATCACTAATTGAAAGGGGAATGTTCAAAATAATAGCAGTGTGGAGTTCTATTAGTGAGGTCATTCATTCTTTGAAAAACAGGTGGCAATTATTGCACTTATTTAAGGAAGGAAGGTAGCAAATGTTGTACAATCTGGTTACAGTGCATTTCTCTCTGAAATTCTGAGGAAAATGGGTCGTTCCAGACATTGTTCAGAAGAACAGCGTACCTTGATTAAAAAGTTGATTGGAGAGGGGAAAACATATAAAGAAGTGCAGAAAATGATAGTCTGCTCAGCTAAAATGATGGCAAATGCTTTAACCCCCCTAGCGGTCTGATTATGTCCATATTTCTGTGCTGAAAGCGGTACATTTTTTTGCATGGAAACATGTACCGTATTTTTCGCTCCATAAGACGCACTTTTTTCCCCCCCAAAAAGGGGGGAAAATGTCAGTGCGTCTTATGGAGCGAATATAAAGCGGCCGGTCCGGTATTTTTGTGGCCACCATGTCAGAATACCGGGCCGGCCGCTCAGCTGTTGTCTCCTGCGCAGTGGGCACCCGGCTGAAGCCGGCCCGGGAAGAAGAGGGAAGGCAACTCCGCGGAAGTGTGGGAGCGGGTACCTGTCAAATTCAGGTACCCGCTCCCCCTCCCTCCCCAAAGGTCAGCAGTCTCTGGTCATCCCCTTCACTGTCTGCAGTCTCTGGTCATTCCCTGCACTGTCTGCAGTCTCTGGTCATTCCCTGCACTGTCTGCAGTCTCTGGTCATTCCCTGCACTGTCTGCAGTCTCTGGTCATTCCCTGCACTGTCTGCAGTCTCTGGTCATTCCCTGCACTGTCTGCAGGGTCTCAGTCTCTGGTCATTCCCTGCACTGTCTGCAGTCTCTGGTCATTCCCTGCACTGTCTGCAGTCTCTGGTCATTCCCTGCACTGTCTGCAGTCTCTGGTCATTCCCTGCACTGTCTGCAGTCTCTGGTCATCCCCTGCACTGTCTGCAGTCTCTGGTCATCCCCTGCACTGTCTGCAGTCTCTGGTCATTCCCTGCACTGTCTGCAGTCTCTGGTCATTCCCTGCACTGTCCGCAGTCTCTGGTCATTCCCTTCACTGTCCGCAGTCTCTGGTCATCCCCTGCACTGTGTCCGCAGTCTCTGGTGATCTCCTGCACTGTGTCCGCAGTCTCTGGTCATCTCCTGCACTGTGTCCGCAGTCTCTGGTCATCTCCTGTACTGTGTCCGCAGTCTCTGGTTATCTCCTGCACTGTGTCCTCAGTCTCTGGTCATCTCCTGTACTATGTCCGCAGTCTCTGGTCATCTCCTGCACTGTGTCCGCAGCCTCTGGTCATCTCCTGTACTGTGTTCGCAGTCTCTGGTCATCCCCTGTACTGTGTCCGCAGTCTCTTGGTCATCCCCTGTACTTTGTCCGCAGTCTCTGGTCATCTCCTGTACTGTGTCCGCAGTCTCTGGTCATCCCCTGTACTGTGTCTGCAGTCCATTGGTTCAGAATATTTTTTTTTTCTTGTTTTTCACCTCTAAAACCTAGGTGCGTCTTATGGTCAGGTGCGTCTTATGGAGCGAAAAATACGGTAGTTTTTTTATTGCAGGCTTGTAATTTTTAGGAATAACTCACTAAAATCTGTCCGAACAAGAGTCTAGTAAATATTCCAGGTAGGATAAAACTTGAAACACAAAATCATAAATTATAATTTAATAAACAATCATAAAAAATAATAATATAATAATACATTTATTTCAATAATATGTTCAAACCAAAAAGTCGCAGAATCGTTTTCAGTGTCTGATGACGAATTTCCCCATGAATCATTATCACTCAATTCTGCAAGTGGTTCTAATTTTCTATCGCTGTTCTCAAGCTGGTCTAAAACCGCTTTTGACCTAAAGGGACGCTTTTTGGACGCCATGGACTTTTCTAAGTTTCCAGGCAGAAAGAACAGTCACAATGCAGGCAGGGCACAGGACAAAGCATTAGGGACAAAATGTATGTGAAATGGTTTGAAACAGTAATGTTTTACGATGTTATTTTAGTTTATTAGAAAATTAATTTTTTTTTTAATTTTTAAATTTGCCGCCAGTTCCGGCCCCTGTACGTCCCGGCGCTCACAGGGACCGGAACACGGAAGCTGGATGCCGGAGGAGATGGCCGGGGATGCTGCAGGGGACGCATCGCGGGAGCGAAGGACAAGGTAAGCGCTGCAGGGAATCCCTGAGCAACGCCACAGGGTAATCCCGAGTGTAGCTTGGGGTTACCGCTTTTGGTACTGAAACTTTACCGCGAGCTACTCTCGGGAATACTGCCAGGGAGGTTAAAATGGCAACCAAAACCTGAAAGACGTGGAAGAAAGCGAAAAACTACCATGCGAATGGATAGAAGAATAGCCAAAATGGCAAGGACTCAGCCAACAATCAGCTCCAGGAAGATCAAAGAAGGTCTAAAGTTACCTGTGAGTACTGTTACAATTAGAAGATGCCTATGTGAAGCCAAGGTATCTGCAAGATAGTCCCACTGTTGAAAAAAAGACGTGCTGAAGAGGTTACAATTTGCCAAAGAGCACATTGACTGGCCTAAAGAGAAATGGCGCAACATTTAGTGGACTGATGAAACTAAGATTGTTCTTTTTTGGGTCTAGTGGCCGGAGACAGTTTATCAGACGACCCCCAAAAACTGAATTCAAGCCACAGTACACTGTGAAGACAGTGAAGCATGGTTGCGCCAGCATCATGATATGGGGATGTTTCTCATACTACGGTGTTGGGCCTATTTATCACATAGCAGGGATCATGGATCAGTTTGAATACATCAGAATACTTGAAGAGGTCATGCTGCCTTATGCTGAAGAGGAAATGCCCTTGAAATGAGTGTTCCAACAAGACAACAACCCCAAACACACCAGTAAACGTGCAACATCTTGGTTCCAGACCAACAAGATTTATGGAGTGGCCAGCCCAATCCCTGGATCTTATTCCAATAGAAAAAACTTGTGGGGTTTCATCAAAAATGCAGTTTCTGAGGCAAAACCAAGAAATAGAGAAGAACTGTGGAATGTAGTCCAATCATCCTGGGCTGGAATATCTGTTCACAAGTGCCAGAAGTTGATTGACTCCATGAAACACAGATGAACAGCAGTTCTCAGAAACAGTGCTTATACGGATTTTGAGCTTTATTCACTTTTTTCAACACACTGCTATTATTTTGAACACAACTGTATGAGATAGACTCATTACATGCAAAACAAGATAGTTCAAGCCGTGATTTGTCATAATTGTGATGATTATGGCTTACAGCTCATGAAAACCCCAAATCCACAATCTCAGAAAATTAGAATATTGTGAAAAGGTACAATATTCTAGGCTCAAAGTGTCCCACTCTAATCAGCTAATTAAGCCATAACACCTGCAAAGGGTTCCTGAGCCTTTAAATGGTCTCTCAGTCTGGTTCAGTAGGAATCACAATCATGGAAAAGACTGCTGACCTGACAGTTGTGCAGAAAACCATCATTGACACCCTCCATAAGGAGGGAAAGCCTCAAAAGGTAATTTCAAAAGAAGTTGGATGTTCCCAAAGTGATGTATCAAAGCACATTAATAGAAAGTTATGTGGAAGTGAAAAGTGTGGAAGAAAAAGTTGCACAAGCAGCAGGGATGACTGCAGACTAGAGAGGATTGTCAGGAAAAGGCCATTCAAAAGTGCTGCAGACTTTCACAAGGAGTGGACTGAGGCTGGAGTAAGTGCATCAAGAGCCACCACACACAGACAGATCCTGGACATAGGCTTCAAATGTCATACTCCTCTTGTCAAGCCACTCCTGAACAACAAACAACATCATAAGCGTCTTACCTGGGCTAAAGAAAAACAGACCTGGTCTTTTGCTCAGTGGTACAAAATTCTCTTTTCTGATGAGAGCAACGTTTGCATCTCATTTGGAAACCAAGGACCCAGAGTATGGAAGAAGAATGGAGAGGCACACTACTGCGAGATGCTTGAAGTCCAGTGTGAAGTTTCCACAGTCTGTGTTGATTTGGGGAGCCATGTCATCTGCTGGTGTTGGTCCACTGTGCTTCATTAAGTCTAGGGTCAATGCAGCCGTCTACCAGGAAATTTTGGAGCACTTCATGCTTCCTTTTGCCGATGAGCTTTATGGGGATGCTGACTTCATTTTCCAGCAGGACTTGGCACCTGCCCACACTGCCAAAAGATAGCTTCCACGCCACGCCGCATTGAGGCAGTAATTGCTGCAAAAGGGGCCCAAACCAAGTACTGAGTACATATGCATGCTTATACTTTTCAGAGGTCCGATATTGTTCTATGTACAGTCCTTATTTTATTAGCTGATTATCCTTAATTAGCTGATTAGAGTGGGACACTTTGAGCCTAGAATATTGCACCTTTTCACAATATTCTAATTTTCTGAGATTGTGGATTTGGGGTTTTCATGAGCTGTAAGCCATAATCATCACAATTATGACAAATCATGGCTTGAACTATCTTGCTTTACATGTAATGAGTCTATCTCATATATTAGTTTCACCTTTTAAGTTGCATTACTGAAATAAATGAACTTTTGCACGATATTCTAATTTTTTGAGTTTCACCTGTATATGTGCACAATTATTATAAACATCAAACAAATCATGTCACTTAAACACCTAGCCGAAGTCAATGTACACATTTTTTACAAAAAAAAGTTTGAAGCTTGTTGATTCATTCAATCTAGGATGCCAAGTTGCCCAGAGTATGTGAATCCAGCACATTCTAATTGCAAATGTTTAAAGTCCGAATCACCTCCCCTTGGGTCTATTTGTACCAAATCCAAGGCTATGAATTTTATACATGATGGATTGTAATTGTGAAGTATGGTATGTATTTTGATTGGTGAATGCAAATTTCTTATGTTTAATAGCAAGTAATAGATGTCAATGCCAATGCTTCTGGATAATATGTCCAAAATACAGTATTTATGTTGTGGATTTTAACAAATAAATATTTTGACAGTTTAAGATTTTCTTTTTTTTTCTTATTTGCTAAAACAGAATCCCAAGATTTGTACTGTTTCCCCTAGCTAATAAATGCATTTTGTGAACACTAGCTTCAAGCTGGAATTTTAAATCACTTGAGCAGTTTCACCACATGCATAGATATTAGCTGTAGTATTATGGATTTAAAAGTGTAGATTGATGAGAACTGATAATAATTCTGTCAATTCTTTTTTTGACCTTAAATCATGTTTTGAGTTGCAATCCATACAGCCTTGCAATCCACATACACTATATTGCCAGAAGTATTGGGATTCCTGCCTTTACACACACATGAAATTTAAAGGCATCCCAGGCTTAGTCCGTAGGGTTCAATATTGAGTTGGTCTACCCTTTGCAGCTATAACAGCTTCAACTCTTCTGAGAAGGATGTCCACAAGATTTAGGAGTGTGTCTAAGGGAATGTTTGACTATTCTTCCAGAAGTGCATTTGTGAGGTTAGACACTGATGTCCAGCGAGAAGGCCTGGCTCGCAGACTCCACTCTAATTCATCCCAAAGGTGTTCTATCAGGTTGAGGTGCAGGCCAGTCAAAATCCTTCACCCCAAACTTGGTTATCCATGTCCTTGCTTTTTGCACTGGTGCACAGTCATGTTGGAACAGGAAGGGGCCATCCCCAACTATTCCCACAAAGTTGGGAGCATGAAATTGTTCAAAATGTCTTGGTATGTTGATGCCTTAAGAGTTCCCTTCACTGGAACTAAGGGGCCAAGCCCAACCCCTGAAAAACAAACCCCACACCATAATCCCCCCTCCACCAAACTTTACACTTGGCACAATGCAGCCAGCCAAGTACCGTTCTCTTGGCAACCGCCAACCCAGACATGTCCACTGGATTGCCAGACAGAGAAGCATGATTGGTCACTCCAGAGAACTCATCTCCACTGCTCTAGAGTCTAGTGGCAGCGTGCTTTACACCCCTGCATGCGACACTTTGTATTGCACTTGGTGATGTAAGGCTTGGATGCAGCTGCTCAGCCATGGAAACCCATTCCATGAAGCTCTCTACTCACTGTTATGCTAATATGAAGGCCACACGAAGTTAAGTGGCCTTTAGCTATTGACTCTGCAGACAGTTTGCGACTTCTACTCACTGTGCGTTTAGCATGTGCTGACCCCGCTTTGTCATTTTACGTGACCTACTACTTCGTGGCTGAGTTGCTGTTGTTCCCAGTTGCTTCCACTTTGTTATAATAGCACTAAAAGTTTACCGTGGAATATTTAGTAGCAAGGAAATGTCACAGATGGACCTATCAGGGACATGTTGGTCATGGCATAGCTGAGGCTCGTAGCCGCATGTGAATGTGCAGGCACGGGCCTGCTTGTGCTTGTACTGTTCTGCGTGGCCGTGCGCATATGCGCACACATATGCGCATGCGTGGGAGTACACGTATGGAAATGTGCATTGGCTAATTCAGGCGCCCACTGGCCTATAAAGGTGCATCAGCTGCACTAGTGAGTTGCTG